TCTGGAACAAAAAATGCAAAAAGAGTGGATTGAGAAGCATGGTTTATAAGATGTTTGAGAAAAGGAAGCATACAATTAAATAATCAAAAAACCCAAACTATTGTAAGAAGAAAGATCATTACAATCAGACCAAGGCCTGTATGTTTGAATGAAAACAGAAAATGCAGCTCTAACCAAAAATAATAAAACAACCAGCTAGTTTATATGTTTTACTTTTTTCTTAGAAATTAGTATTATAATGAATTGGGATTATTTCCCACTATGTTTCTTCCATTACATTATTGTAAATACACTCTTCCTTTTTCAATAAAATAAAAATATAATTTCTATGTCAGAAAATCCTTTGCCTAAATGTCTCATCCACTTATCTATTTCTAATATGTCCAACAAGTCTACTGAAGATAAATTGTCTTTGTTTTCTTTCCAACTATGAATTATAAAGGATTTATAAGAAGAGGATGTGCACACATCATCTTAGATAATATATACTGTAAACCTGTTTTTGTTCTGTCTTGATATTTGCAGACATCAACAGTTCAGAATGTACTTTATTATTATTTAAATAAAGTAAATTTTGCAGACATGAATAACTAGAATAAAGCTTAAACATTTGAGGCACTATGGGTATTTCTATCGCATAACAAATATTTGTCATCATCACAATTAATATAGGTAACGCCCAGGTTACGAGCATTCCTTTAGCGAATGTTTGAAGTTAGGCTTAAGTGCCCCCTAGCATTTAAGAACAACTCCTGAAATTATGTTGCAGAACCACAGCAGTTGTTCGTTTTTATGAATGACTGCCGAGGCTCTGCAACATTCATCCCACCTATCCCCCCATCAAACCGTTTGGCAGCGAAAAATGCGACTGAATGTGTGCATGAATGGCTTGAAGAAGACTTTGGTGATGAAAAAGGAGGTGCTGAAGGTTGCACGCGACCCTCCAGGCCTCACCTCCAGAACCCTTTTCAACATTAATGTACATTAATGTACATTAATGATTTACATGATAGTCAATTTGTTGATAATGCAGGTATGTGCAGGTTGAGACTGAATGGAATTGTATATATAAAATATTGTAAGTGAGTGGTAAATTATAAGTGCAATTAGCTTGCATTAATATATAGCAGAAAGTACTGTATGATTCTCCCCGTTGGAACGGTAAATCAACTGAATAAGAGCAAAGAAATTGGGAACAAAAGCAGAGTTAAAAATCTTATTGTGTAGCTCATGGGGCAGTACTTGGCTTACACTAACTGACCTTGAAAAAAACTAAACAGGCTCCAAAACTAATCTGGGACAGACGTTACCAGGGAATAGGCTGGAGATATTACTAGGGAGGTTGAAAAAAAATAAACTCAGCGAAGGCTAGAGCATCACTTTTGCATCATTGCTAAAAAGCCTGCACAGAATTTATGTTATTACCAAGAGGATACATTTTACTTTTTAAATTTGTTTTTAAAGTTTTGAACAAGGTTTGTATTTCAGAAAAAGACTGTAAGAAGTCTGTGAACATAATAGTTCAGAATCTCTTTACTTATAAATGTACCTTTCATTCAAAGTTACTCAGTCAACAAAGTTACACTGACAAGTTTAGGGACTTGTGCAATTGTGTGAAGCAAGAATTTAAATCAGATAAGCTGAAAGAGCATAATACTTTAAAAGATAAGTACAAGTAGTTCTCAAGTTATGACCAGTCCTATAACCATTTGAAATTATGACAGACTTGAAGTTACTTACAACCTGTCTTTCTAGTTATGACTGCTGCACCATCCTGTTTTGGTCTGCCAGCTACCAGCAGAGCTGGCAGCAGACTCAAATAGTGAGGAGGTTGGGGAGGAACTTGGGGCAGTCCTGGAGTCTGAGGAAGGCTTTGATGGGTGCTCTGCGTCAGAGGCAGAAATGGGGCCAGGGCCATCTGATATTTATCAGCTGCATTCAGAGTCAGAGTCAGAGATAAGTGGGGAAGAAGAACAGTTGGATCCTGTTCCAGATGCACATATATGCAGAGCTGTCAGGAGAAGGGAATAACTAAGGAACGGGGATCGATTCAGAAGAAAAGGCACAAGTGGATGCTGAATGCCCCTCCCATAGGGAATAAATAGGAGCAAAAAGGAGTGGTTAGTTTGCTTATTATTGTGAAGACTTGTTTATCTGAGTTTGCGTCTCACGGAGACTCCTTGCCAGGTATTTCATTTTACAGCATTGTGACTGAAGCTCTTGGCCTGGCAACTATCCAAGGACTGATAAGATCTGTTTTTTTGCAATTAAACCTTGAAAGGCTTATTGCGGGGACTTTTCTGGATGTGAATGCCAGGAATTCACATTAACCAAATAAAAAGGTTTTTTTTTTCAGGATAAGGAGTCTATTTTGTGATTCTGTTAAGCCTGGGTCAGAACACACTCCTGCATCACTTGATTTCATGCACATGGCAACTGGCTCGTGGCATTCCTATGATTGCATTCTGTAAACTTTTTCCATTTTTCTGTAAAAACTGGCAAAAAATTATATTGTATGAACTACATTTGGACTTACAATCACATGAATTGCTAAATAACCATGCAAATCAATTAATGACTGCAGTGATTTGCTTAATGACTGTAATAAAAACGTGTCATATGATGACTTGACTTAGCACTGCAACAACTAGCATCAGGGTGATACGACAGAATTCCACAGTGCTCTGTGGAAAACATCTAAATCCTCCTGCCCAGGGGTCCATAGAGACCCTAGCCAACCATGCAGGGTTTGAGGAAGAAGAGAGGACACTCTGTGAACCACAGGGAGTCCGCAATCAGACCTGCAAGGAATGATAGATAGCCTGTCAGCTTTGGAAGCCATATTAACATCGGACGCTTCCACATTCTTGTGCTTGGGAAATTAGGAGGGAAGATTTAGTAGAGGGAATGTAGTTAGACATATAATGTCAGTGGAATGCTGACATGGCCACTACAAACTGTCAGAAGCCCTGGCAGCCAGACCGGAAAGTTAAAAAAAGATCATTGTAGAAAGGAAGATGGGGGAAAGAAGAAAGAGGTAAGGAGAGGAGAATGGAAAGGAGAGAAAGAGGAGGAGAGAGGGTAGAAAGGGGAAGAGGAGGAGCAGGAGTAGGAGAAAGGTACAGGAAGAAGGAAGGGGAAGGAGAGGAGGAAGGAGGAAAGTAGAGAAGGGAGGGAGGGAGAAAGGAAAGGGAAAGGAAAGGAGGATGGAAGGGAGAAAAGAGGAGAGAGGGTAGAAAGGGGAAGAGGAGGAGCAGGAGTAGGAGAAAGGTACAGGAAGAAGGAAGGGGAAGGAGAGGAGGAAGGAGGAAACTAGAGAAGGGAGGGAGGAAGGAAAGGGAAAGGAAAGGAAGATGGAAGGGAGAGAAAAGGAAGGAGAGAGGGTAGGAAGGGAAAGAGGAAGAGGAAGAGTAGGAGCAAAGGAGGGGTAAGGGAAGAAGGAAGGGGAAGGAGAGGAGGAAGGAGGAAAGTAGAGAAGGGAGGGAGGGAGAAAGGAAAGGGAAAGGAAAGGAGGATGGAAAGGAG